ACTGCCGTGCTACACTAGGAAGACGATGGTAGCATCCAATAGACATGAGGCTTTATACTGGTTCAGGCTGGAGCCCTATGTCCAATCTCAGATATGATCGAGTGCGTGTTCCTTACTTGAATGCTATGAAGTTCTTACAATGGGGGTGCAAGAAAGGTGAAAGAGATGGAAGGACCTATGCTAGGTGAAGGGCTACCCTAAGAGAAGCTCCAAGAGCCCTACTACAACGGTGAATGAATGGAATGGTAGAGGATGTGAATCGTCTTGCCCTGGTGGTCCTTATATAAAGTTTGGGGCCAGGGCTTATACAAAGAGGAGGTTCTCCTGACCGAAGGGTCGAGAGCTTGAGGGAGGGCCAAACTAACTTGGCTTGCAAGCTATGCTGTCTCCTGGTGCATGTTCGGTCATGGCTATCGTCATCGTCTTCTGGCCTCGTTGCGGCAAGATGTGATGTGGTGTTACTGTGCCGGCCGTGGCGGCACTGTAGCCTTGATGGCGGTTCATCAGCTGTCCTGTGCAATGTGGTATTCATCATGGCCTTTGTCATCGTCTCCTAGTTCCTAGGGTCGTCGTAACCAAAGTAGGTAGCTACCCTGGGTCATCGATCGCTTGGTCGCTTTGCGAGGCTGAGGGCCATGACCCCAATCATCGGGGTCGGGGTACTCTGCCGATCTGGATGCCCTTTTCGTCATGCCCCTTGTCGTGGATCCCCATCCCATAGTGGGTGGGATCGTACAAGCGTTTAATCGGTCCATATTTGGACAGTGGGTGTCATACCCATTGCCACCACGGTGCGATGTTGTCTCATCGATGAAGGATGGCACAGGGATGGTATCTGACCGGGCCGAGGTGATTGTCGTCCCCTCGGTCCTTGCAGGGTTAGTGCGGCATGCTTTCTCTTGTCAGAGCAGGCGCGCCTAGCTGCGCTCGACCTCCCCTCATCCCTCCTAGGGGTCGTGATGGGGAGAGGTCAGGCATCTTGAGAGCGTTGTGTGCTAAGGCGGATGGAAGGGGTCGGGGATGACCCCTGGCCTTGGCGCCTTGCCTGCTCTGCTCGGCTTTCGCTGGGCCTCGGTCGTTCGAGCCTTTGTTAGACATTGTGTTGCCGATCGCGCGGCCTGCTAACTAATCGCTGCCTTGAGATACCCCGGGGTTACGACTCTCACAATATGTTTGCATGTGTTTTCTCTGGATGTTACATGTATTTTGTAATGACTTTTTCAATCGTTTTTCATGTGTTTTACAAGTGTTTCAGACGTATATTGTAAGTGTTTTAACTGTCTCAAATATATATTTCAAATGTCTCATTTGGATGTTTTAAAAGTAGACCGGGGGTTGCATCTCCCTCCTCGCCTTCTGCTGCCTCGCCTCGGTGTCTCCTCTTCTTGATGCTGGTGATGTTCGGGCGGCGTGGGCTCATGTGGGGGCGAACGGCGTGGGTGGGGCGAGTCATTTGAGCGGTGTGGAATCCGAGCGAGCGCGCCGTGCGGCACAGAGTAGGCACGGTGCACTAGGAACTAGAGCTGGACGTCCGAACACTAGCCTGACCAATTAAAAAAAAGTTTATTGATTTAAGGCTTTGAGATTGGCCTAATATATGGGCCTGTTTGGGACTGCTCTGCTCCACCTTTTCCAGCTCTGCTCCCAAACTTCCCGCCAAACAGGTCCAGCTCTAGAAACTCCACTCCAAAAAAAGGTGAAGTTTTGAGCCAACTCCACGTTTTCCAAGGAGCTCCCCAAGGGGTACACCAGAAACCAGCGTTTCGAATGTCCTCATGGAGTTGGGGGGCAATTACCCACAACTGCCACTGATTACACAACATAACGTTTCATTCTATTCTATCTTCTCCCACCGAAGCTTTATGTTCGCTCAAACTTTTCCCGTCTCCTCTCGTCGTCCGCTCGTCCTCCCCAAACCCTAGGCCACGCTGCCACTCATTTCGGCCGTCACGGCAAGCAATCCGGCGAGGTGATGGACGGAGAAGATAGATCCAGTGATCCTCTACTGGATGACCTCTTTTCTAGCTCCCAAATCCCCCTCCGTCTTCCCTCTCCCAACTTCTCATGAAGCTGTTGTGGCCATCGCGTCCATGAGTCGAGGTAGCTCGCTGGCCCCAAGGGTAGAGCTATCGCGGCCTCCTCAGGCGGTGCCACCAACCGCCTCCTCCCAGGCTAGGGCCATGTATGTCCATCAAAAATATGTGAACAAATCAAATGGATCTACTACTGAACTGAATGCTCCTACTATGGATCACTTCCGTGATGAGTTGGCCACCGCTCTTTCTCTAGCTTGGAACTAGAATTATGTATTGGCTACTACTCTCTAGTTATGTATGGACAATTATTTCTATTCGAATGATGGACTTTGTTAATCATTTATCATTAGTTATCTGAATGATGGACTTTGTCAATTATCTATCAAGCACTTTGTAATTTATGGGACAAAAGTATGGAATTATTTGACCAAAATATTTGTTCTTTTCGTTCTCTCCAATAAATTAAATGCGATTATAATATTTTACATCATATTGAATTGGTAAAAAAAATATTCAGTTACACATGCTTTACATATAACAGAACATACACCAAACATCATTTAGAGGCATATTAGACCTTTCTGAGAGAAACCTCATGTTCCTGGAGCTGGAGCTAGGATGTGTGCCAAACAAATCCATTTGCTCCAAAAACTCTACAGTGGAGCAACTCTATCATAGAATTGGTGGAGTAGAGCTGGAAAAACCAGAGCAAAGCAGTCCCAAACGGCTCCTATATATTGCCTTTTCTGTCACATGAGGACGCCATGCCTTACAAGAGCCGTGGCATCACCCAAGTGCGACGTGACAGGGAGCCAGGGGCTTATAACGCGACCAAGTGAGCTGCACGATGGGAGACGCCTCCTAGAAAGAGCTGCGATGCGATGATGGCACGGTCCCACAAGGCTGACTCCGCACGGTTCTTTCCTGTTCAGCTATTCCTAGTCGTTAGACGAGGCATTTATCTGTATACCGTTATAAAACATTGTAATTATCTACAGGCCATTAAAAAGTTTGTGCGGTCACATGTGCCACTGACTGAAACTTTTTTGTTGCTCATGCCATTCCGTCCACCTTTCGTCCAATTTTCACCGTTTAGCTACCCTAACATGTGGGGCCGGTCAGTAAAGATGTCCAAAATACCCCTCTCCCTCCGTACCTTATCCTCTCCTTCCTCTTCTCCTTCACCCGATCCACCTGGCCGCCCATAGCATCCTCTCGCGCCATCCTCCGCCCGGCGGGGCCACGTACGTGCCCCGTGCTAGCCCACCCCGACCGCCTCCTCCCGCGCTACCCTTTGTCGATTGCTTCTCGTCGGGCCACGCTGCTGCCCAGCCGTCGCTTGCTCGCGTCACGGCCCTGCCCACTCTGGTCGTCGTTTGCTGGAGCCGCCATCGCCTGCTTGAGCCGCGCCCCTGCTCGCTCATGCCATCGTTTCTATTGTGGCGTGTCCTTCTTCAACAGATGCGGCGGCAGGGGATTGGGCTCGGCTTGCCAAATCCCAGCCGGTGGTGGCGGGTCGAGGGCGAGGCGGTCGGCCGGCGCGACAAAGATGAAGGCTGCACCTGAGGGCCTCAGGGGCTCGGCGCTGCGACGATCGTGGCCTCCTAGCCACGCGAGCCTATGGCACGGCGAAGAGCAGACCAGTGGCGGCCCGGGGTGTTCCGGCGTCAGTGGCGAACAGGAATGGAGAGCGGCGCACGCGCGGGGAGATGGGGAAGGCGAGGAGCTGCCGATTAGGGTGGAGGAGGCTTGGAGGAGCGAGCTCGGTGGTGCTGCATCGGCTGCGGCGGCGTGGCGTTCGTTGGCCTCGACGCCACCCATTTCGGCGAGCTTGCGCCGGCGTGGAGGACGACGCTTGGCGGACACGACAACGAGGCTGGTTTGCTGCGGTGAGAAGATACTCTAGATCAAGAAAGCCAAGGAGAGGCGAAATCCAAGTGCTGGTGGTGGTCTGGTCGGGTGGGTATTGCAAGGCAGCGTCGAGCCATTATGGATTTGAGGGAGGAGGGACAGTGTGCTCGCCTTCTCAAACAAGGTTCTAGGCACCACGACCAAGGACATCATGGACATGGTCCTGGTCACCCGAAGAGTCCAAGATGCCGACACCATGAAGGAGATTGGGGCCTCCTCCAAGTCCTCTTCGGTGTTCATCCCCATGGTCCTAGAGCTGTCAAGGATGTAGTGGCGCAAATAAAAGATGGCCTCCTGCAGCTAATCTGCAGTGAGAGGATCTTGAGAGAAAAAAAAGGATTGATTACGATTCGCAAAGCGCATCGAGGGCATCGGTCCTATGGTGCTATAAAATTGCTAATATAAAAAAACTTGCTTGGTTTGTAAAAGCATATTAGGCTTTACTGTACTTGTGAGTGAGCACAGGTATCCAAACCCATCTGCTATTTGGTGATCTTCTATGCTGTATGTGGATAATCCTTTGGGTCAGACGCCTGAGTAGGTATCTTGAAATCTCAATTGCGGCATATTTCACTTTGATTCGGTCTGGGCCGCTGCAACAAAGTTGTCATTCCCCCTAAGCTCTATGACTTTTATGAAGGGGTCAGGGTCATTTGCGCTTCAGATTAGCGGCTATTTAAGCTCCAAGTTGACACTGTCAGACGAATGCCAAAGCCACAGGACTAGGGAGTGGCACGGGAGGAAAACGCAACTTTCTACTCTAGCTAGAGGGTAGTTTTGACTTTTCGCGGCTCTATTTGACACCGTTAGTAGCAGATGTTGACGGAATGGCGTGGGCGACAAAAAAAGGTTCGAGCAGTGGCACCTATGATCGCTCGAACTTTTTAGTGACTTACAGACAATTACAATCTTTTATAATGGCATAAAAGCCTCTAGTTAGATCGATCACTCTCCAGTGGCCCAGTCTCCCCACACACAAGCACCAACTCACTCGGAGTCAGGCCACTCTCACCGGCCGCGGCGCCCGCAACCGACCTCTCCTCGAGGCGCCGCATGGCGGAGCGGGAGCGGGAGCGGAAGTGGAAGCGGGCGTCGGAGGAGTGGGTGAGGCGGAAGAGGGGCAGGAAGAGGAGGAAGAGGGAGGGGAGGGAGGGGGAGAGGCAGGTGGGGTGGACGAGCGACCCCATGGAGGCGCTCGGGGAAGATGTGATGGGGCGGGTGATGGACTTCCTGGACGCGCGCAGCGTGGCACGATGCACCGTGGTGTCCTGCGCGTGGCGCGGGATCGCGGCCGACAACCGCCTCTCGGCACCTTAGGTTCGGTTTGGGGCCTTCCACTGTCCTCTCGCACTCCTTATATTTCGCGTTTGTTGGCCTGCGCTTTTGCGCGCGCAAGTTAGTAGTTTGTGGTGCTCCTGCTCCTGTTTGACGAATTGCTCCGCGGTGAGGAGAATAGGAAGCCATCAATTCCCTCGAGCAGTCGATCGAGCACCTTGGTGCTCAAGTTCGCTGGTCTGGAGTGAAGAAAACCCCCAAATTTCGTAGCTAGAAGCGCAAAGGACATGCATTGACTGACTTGCACAGCTGTTTACTGACATGGCACGAGCTTATGTACCGGGCGTTACATTTGGAATTGTATTTGCAGTTTTTGCGTAGGCCCCTCCTTTACAGCAGCGAGCTACTATCGGTATCAATATCATTATATGGTTTCCAAAAACGTTGGTGCTGATTCAGTCCATAGTGGTGAATCAAGCAGTAACTCCCTAAACTTTGCTCCTTTTAAAATAGGTATAAACTGAGGCAATTTTGAATTTTTGTGCTCATGCAAACATAGAAAAATAAAATTTTTCATTAAATTAAAATTCATCGTAAGGTAGCAACATGTTTGAGCATACATGTCCTTGCATTTGATTTATTTGGTTGAGTAGTTTTGATTGAAAATTTAAAAATGGCTTTGAAATAAAAGAAAAGAAAATTTGAAAATAAAAGGATTTAAAAAGTTGTAAAATTTATTTTTGAAAACTTACCAAAATTGCTCATTTATGTTTGAATTGAAAAGTATATTTGAAATCCTATTCAAATTTGATTTGGTTTACATTTGAATTGGTTTTGAAAATAAAATAGAAAAGGAAAATTTCCTCCCTTTCGGATTTGGCCCGAAGGCTTGGCCTGCTCCGCTCCCTTCCGGTCGGCCCAGCTCGCACTCCGGGCAGCTGCCCTGGCCTGCTTCTCCCTCTCTTGTCGTGGCTCGTCCTTCTCCACCACCACGGGGCCCACTTCTTCGCGCTCGGCCCAATCTGCGTCGACGTCGCCCGTTTCCCCTCTCTTGGTCGCTGACATGCCGGGCCCGCATGTCAGGCACTTCGTCTTCCCCATGCGTATCCAAGCCGGACTCCGTCGCCGTCGTGTCTGTCTCCACCTCCGAGCCACCTCGTTAGTGCCATGCTCTCCAAGATTCCCGGCCCCTTAAACGGGAGCGTCGTGCCGCCCGCATCCACCCGAGCACCCGCCGCCCCATCTCGCCCTAGTTCGCAGTCGCCAAGCCGCACGCTGCCTCCGTCCTCTCCATGCCACCGAGGATCGTTGAGGTAAGTTCACCGTGCCTCCCTCTCTCCGCTCATGCCCTTCCCGTTGTAAACCGCACCCGGAATCACTGTTTCGGCGAAGCTCCATCGTCGGCAATGGCCCACCACTGTGCCGGCTACTATTCCGGCTGGCAGTCTCCTCTCTCTTTCTCCCTCTCTTTTAATATGAGCCGTCCATCTCCGATCCAATGGTCCAGATCATCCCGTACCCCTTCGCAGGCCATCTTGCTAAAGAGCCCCTCCAGTTTTCTGTTTTCAAACCCGCGGTCCAAAGCGCAATCACAGATTACGTTTTTTTCTTTGGAAAGCGTAGTTTCTTCGGTTTAGATCCAAAATACGTTTTCACTTATTTATAGTTTTGCCACTAATCTTGTTTTAACCATAAAATCTTCGTTTTAACTCCGATTTGATCCGTTCAATTTGCGTTTGGTTCGTAATTCCATAATCTACATGTTCATACTACTGTTAAGTAGGTTTTCAACTTTTAAAATTCGAGGTTAGATTTAATCTATTATTTTCCTAAAGGAAATTTTGTTAAATTCATATCTTCTACGTTTTAGCTCTGATTTGACCTGTTCAAGTTGCACTAGATTCGTTACAACATAATCTACGCATTAGTAAAAATATTTATCATATCACTAGCTTTGGAATTTCATGGTTTAAACTCTAACTTGAATAATAATTATGCAACTAGATTCATAAATAAAATATGATTAATTCTACTTTTGTTTTTTAAATTCAAATATGAATTTTGACTTAATACAACTTAGGTATTTCTCTAAAATATGACCCCTGTGCGTCAATGTGCCATCGAAAAGGGGGGCTCTACATCTATTTGCCGAGTGAATCTAATGATCCTAGCTTGTTAGACGAACCTTTGAAAGGCTTCATAGTGACCCCTGCCTGCAAATCTTGGAAGTGTTTTGGGAGTAATTAACCCGGGCATATGGGTATCACGACTCACAGTGAAAGTATACAACCTCTGCAGAGTGTAAAATTGGTATATTAGCCATGCTCACGGTCACGAGCGGCCTTGAAACATTTACGGAATAGATAATGAACACTAATGATACTAATGATAAAGATGCTCACTAATGGATACTATTTATGCTATTCATTATTCATGTTTACCTGATCATGTGTTTATGGGCTTATGAAAACTTTGCTGTCATCTTATTGCTAAAATCATGACTCAATAAAAGCTAATCGCAGCTAAATCAGTGTCGGCCTTTTGAGCCTCATGAACCTCATGTTGTATTTGTTGAGTACGACATGTACTTACGCTTACTTTATTTTTCACATATTTGGAGAAAAAAAAATCCCGAATGGGTACCAGATTGCTAGAGTTTTGAGGAATTAGGCTTGTGATCAACCAGTCAGTTGTCCCTGTGGAATTGGAGTCTTCACCCGAAGATCGGAGTTGTCTTTCTGCTATTTGCTATCTAAGATTATATTCTTTATACTAAGTACGTTATATATTGAGCATTGTCTATTGATATTACCCTTATTTGTAGCTATATATGAGATTTGACTCCCTGTGCTCACATATGGTGTGTACGTGGTTTTGTTCTTAAAACCGGGTGCTACATGATATTAACATTTCCAAAGAAAGAAGCTTTAAGTGACACTGACATGGTGGAGGAACAATTGTTTGTTTCATGGACCATGGGTGATTGTACTTCTTTTTTGTCCCAAAATAATTTCACAAATATAGACATAAGAAATGGTATGAAAGGAAATATATCCATTGAATCTATCTTTAAATTTTTTTTGTTTCATGTATAAATTTTTATTTTTCGCTTCGTTGTAATATTTTTCTGAATTATATGGGTTTTCAGCAAAATATATGTTGTCCAATACATTAGTCATGTTTGTACCAGGAGTCACAAAAGTTGATATGATGAATGGACCCATATCCAACAACTTTGTTAAACTGTTTTTTTTTATGGACTTTGTTAAACTGTTCATGGGATGTGGTTTGATAATTACAATACACTAATACACCAATAAGGCCATTAATAGTAGTTAAATGACTAATTTCACTTGACCATCCCGAATAATTTGTATTCTTGGTTATCTTGATGATTATGAAATTTTGGCATATTAAAATTTTAAAGTCTCTGCTGCCCTAAAAAAAGACTGAAAATTGTATCAAAATTTGAAATCTGCCTTTCAGTTTCTTTAATTTTCACTCTGACAAATGGCAAAACAGTCACTTATGTTAACAAAAGTCGAATCTCCAAATATAACATACTAGAGTTGAAAAATGTAGGACTTGATTGCATTTCCTTCTAGAGCAAGGAAACAAAAATGTTAAATACCAAAACTGAAACTAGGCAGACCATATTGGAGGAAAAAGAGGGGGCAGAAGAAAACTGTGGCAATATGTATATAGCTGTATTTTTTTGCTCGTGATATACAGCAGGTCCTAATCATTTTGCTTGTAGTGTGCTGAATTGATGGCGGGAAAGTCTCATATCCCACGTTTAACATTGATCCGCACTGGATCCAAGTTGTCTACATATTCAATGGCCATTATGGATGGGAAACGGGTGAGTACAAGGATTTTTTTTCATCTGTAGGATCAACAGTGCAGTGGATGAACATCAATAGGATGCATAATGTATTGTGCTGTACTCTGTATTTTTACCATGGCACTTGAAAAGATCATCTTGTAGATCATTGATATTGCAGATTCTGGGAATAATGCTAGTTATATTGTTTACACGTCTCTTTTATTTTGTTTCATTCATATATACAGTGGTAATTGTGGGGAAGTTCTCTTTGGTCATCTATTTGATTTATCCTGAAGCTGAAAGTAAACTCTTAAGTACGTACATTTCACTTCTCCATCACTCTCAACATAAACTACATCATTCTTTTGTTCAGAGTCGGATCACAAAAGAGGATCTCTGTGATCATGCGTGGGAATATCGTTTCACTATAGTAAGTTTTTTTGCTAAATTGCCACCCTTTTTCTTGTTTGAATTTTGAACTATGAGCTTATATGGCATTGCATATTTAAATTCTTTTTGTGGTTGCTACTGTACAACTGGCTCTTCTAGTTTTGAGTTCAACTGGTTTTAGTCAGTAACAGTCTGATGGATGCATGGGATCATGACAACTGTCAGCGTCTCTCTAGCTTCTTCAGATGTTGTAGCTTCCAAACGCATTGAGGCAGAGTTGATGCATATATCTTCATGGTGGCAATTAAAGGTTATAACTTTGATACACTGATTTGGTCAATGTCTCAAGGATGACTTTTGATTAACACATCTTGTTCAGATCCATACAGACACGGCGCTGCTCCTTGCAAAGGAGGATGCTGAGTGCCGGTGTTTGGCAGGAGCGAAGGGCCTCTCCCTGCTCACTGCCACAGGGGTCTCTTAGGTGTTGTTTGTTTTTTGATCCGGTCGTCTTTCCCTTTAAGTTTCAGGTGATTAGTCTCAAGTTATTAGGAGGTGTGTGTGTGTTTGGGTCTATGTACGACTCTTTCTTCTCCTTTTAATGAAATGATACACAGCTCTCCTGCGTGTTCGAGAAAAAATTATATGTATCATTTGAACACAGATTTGTTTTTTTTGTCTGCCACTATGAGAATGTGTGTGCACATTTGTCGCTCGAAGTATGTAATCTGGTTAAATTGTTGATATTGTCATTTGAATTACTACTTTCTATTTATTCAAAAGAAAACACGAATTTTCTGAAAGAAGGCTTTAAAACATAGGAATTTCATGCTACAGTTTTAGTAGCATTTCAATATGTTTTTGAGAGGAATTATAAACTTATGACAAGTTGCATAGATGAGGAATATTTCAACCATTCTGCATTCCTTCAACAATTATTCTTCTTCTGCTCTTGCAGGCAGCACCTGATTACTGGAGGAACCTTGATCCATCATGGAAGCACACTGATCCACCTATGCGACGTTACTTCCACCCTGACGGCTACCACAGCGCAGACGCTCATGACGCCGTGTGGGGTGGCCATGAGTGCACCTACATGGTCATAACGAGCTTTGTTGATGATGGCCAGATCAGGGAACACTACGTGAGGATCAACCGGTGGCCACCAATGAAGGTGTCGAGCAAGGACGACTGGAGCTGGGAGCTATCGAACCACCTCTACCGCTATAACAGCATACCTGATTCCGACAAGAAAGGATGCACTGGTCCTCTGTTCCCAGTTTGGTGAATGCACTTCTATGGTAGTAATCAGCAGTCCGGCTCATGTTGTCGCAGTCTTCTGCTAGTAGAAATCAAGCTTGTCGGATGTTCGTAACTGAGGACAGATGGACAAGGAATGTGGCATCAGGAGGTTGTATTTGGCAGCTTAAGTATGTATGCCGAGGGAGGAGGTTAAGGTTTGGTGTGTATGCAATATATAGAAGCACCTAAACAAGCTATATGGGCCTGTTTGGATCGGTACCTGGGAAACACGCCTGGCCCAGGCAACTCTCTCAGGCCGTTGATTTCCGGCGCCTGGGGCTGGATCGACATGCGCCTGGGCGGGGCTCCCCAGGCGAGGGCGCGATCCAAACAGCCCCTATATGTATTAGATGTGTGTGTGCTTGTGAGCATGTGTGGGTGTGTGGGTGTTTTATGGCATTGTGACGATGATAAACCCTTCGTAATGGTTTGGAGTAGACTTGTGCGTCGCCTGAACACTTACGTACCTGTGGGTGTGTTGTAAAAATGAAGCAACAAATGCTGTGTACTTTGGCCTTAGTACTTGTATTGTACGTTTGTGGATGCTTTATTATTTTGTGCTCCATCCATTCCAAATTGTAAGTCTGTTCGGGTTTTTTCTAGATACATAACTTACTATCTATATAAACACAATATATATCTAGACAAGTCAGAACGACTTATAATTTGAAACTTACAATTTGGAATGGAGAGAACAGTAGTTGGAACATAGGTTGTCGTCGTTGTAACATAAAAGTGCATAGCATGATGTATATTTGCATCACCACCGTCTATGTTGTTTGCTACCAACGAGGATAGAACCCAACCAAATATTTCTAACGCCAACGAAACCTGACTATTGTTCTCGGTTGGGCACCAAAATTATCTAGCTTACTACCATTGTACTAGTTCAAAGGTAAGGAAAATGGTGAAGCAGAAGATGCAGTGGCGGGGAAGCGAGTAGGTGCTTCGACTTCATCGACGGGATTGGCGTCCTTCCCCTGCGTACTTCCTCCACCCACTCGACTTGTTTGTTTGAGTTGTAGTTTTTGGCTTTTTGGCTCAAAAGCCAGTTTGGCTTCTGGTGGTTGTTTTTTTTCTTTTTGCTCTTCGCTTTTGTAATAAATTTGGAGCTTCTCATCACACAAAAAATAGAAAAGCTACTCAAAACATGTTTTCAGCTTTCAATTCATTTCTTCATAAAGCTACCTTTCCAGTTTTTCAAAAACAAACTCAACAACTAGACTGTTTGTTTCAGCTCTGGCTTTTGGCTAGATCAAAAACTGAAACAAACAGGGTCTAAGAACTGTATGTGGGTAAGAGAAAATGGAGCCATGGCTTTGGATCGGTCAGGCGGCAGCTACGACTTCTCCAACTTTCTGTTCTTGATGTTTCAATGAGCTTTTCAGTTTTACTCAGCTAGAACAATACGCGGATAGGAGAAAATGTCTACAAAACAAAGTTTGCAGAACACAAACTTCTGAATGAAGCAACACAAAGAAGCTCCTATATAGCACAGTTATTTATTGCACTCTGCATACAATATATAAATCAGGCTATCTACATCGTGGCTTACAAGACATGCTAAAAGTCTAAGACACCAAGAAGTAGAAGCCTAGATGCGAAGACATGAAAGAAATTGAAGCCATTAAAGCCAAGACAAAGAGATATATGAATTGGACTTGTCTCATGATTTTGGATCTGCTCAAATTTATATGATATCAGTTAAAAGTTGTAGAGATGTTCAATAGCTTTCCAAAAAGTCCAAGGTTATCAAAATCGGAGTTCGAAACTAAAAAGTTATACCCAAAATACGAAAGTGTGTCGTGTTGAAAACATGACACCTTATAGTCTGATGCTTACAATCCAATGCTCAGAGGAACAACCCAATGCTCACAACTCACAAGGCAAAATTACACCTTATAGTCCGATGCTACCAATATGATGCTCACAGAAAAGTGTAAAACGACTAGTCAATGTGGAACCACCGGATTATTCCGATGCTAAGCATAGGATCAATCCAATGCTCACAAAAAGTGTGCAATGGTTAGTAATGTCTAGTTTTGGATGTTGGGTTATATATACCCCATTGCTCGGTCAATTGAGGTGTGCTACAGTTGAGGGAAGTGTGTGGAGAGTTGAGACTCATCTATTTGTGCTTTAGCCACCAAAAGTGCTTAGGGAAATATTAGGTGATTAGTGTAGGAGCTTTGTGAAGTGCTTTGGCAAGTTAGACCACCGCTAATGTGCTTGCTCTAGGTTTAGGCCTAGTGTTTAGTGAGGCTTATATACCTCTTACCACTCTGTGCTTACTCGCACCATTGTTGTGCATTAGAGGGGCTTGTAGTCTTGCAAGACCACACCAACCGCATTTGTGGTGTGTCTACCACCGTGTACCGGAGGGAACGAGGCCCATGGCGATTTGGCTGGAAGCTTGATAGGAAGACAAAAAGGAGCAATCCAGGAGAGACCATCTCAGAGACCCACTTGCACATGGAGAAGGTTGGGGATATTCACGGAGTTACCTGAGCGGGAGCTGGGCCCTTGCGAAGGCTTCCTTGCGAGGGGCTCCAATGAGGACTAGGGGGAAGCGAGGAGCTTCTGGATACCTCGGTAAAAATAATGAAGTCATCGATAGAAGTTCTCATCTCTACCACTCTTTACCTTCCGCGTTTATATTATGTACTTAGGTTGTGTGCTTTACATTCCTAGCTCAGTATGATAGGCTAGTGATAGGATTGGAACCTAGGTTGCATACTCTTTTGCTATGGAGATAGCAACACACCTAGCTAGCAAAACCTTAGTTGCATATCTAGATAGGTTATTTATTGCATAGGTTTTGACTTAGGTTGTGTGCCATAGTATTAGAAATAGATTTTAAGTTGTCTAATTCACCCCCTCCCCCTCTTAGGTGTCACGGTACTTCGACTACAGAGTTTTTCTACCAAGGAAAGGGTTTCATCATCCACCACACACCAAGCACGGAGGCTCAACATTACCAAAATATAAATGCAATGTAAATACAAATGTGAGGCAAACCAAGGAGAAGACACAACGATTTATTTCCCAGAGTTCATATCCCCACTAGATCCTATGTCTCTGTTGTGGAAGTCATGAGTGACCTCCCATGTCAAGCTCTAGCTGAGTTTCTTTCAACTACTTTCCACTCTTCTTCTAGAGATGATATTTTCCTTTCTGAGGGCAAGATCACAACTCTCACAAACTTCCTGCAGCCACCCACAACCTTGGGTGTTTGCCAACGACACCTAGCCACCTAGGAGCCAAGCTCCAAGAGTAATAAATGCACCAACCAAAATCTAAAGTTGCTCAAGGGGTTTGTCAGCTCACACAATGTCACACAAGCTCTCTAATGCCACTTAGGCTTATCACACAACAAGGATCTCAACCAAACCTAAAGATTTCACTCTCTAAGCACTACACACCCACAAAAAAGAGGTTTGGGGAGAACAATAGGCTTCTATTCATGTATGTCAAGTGGAGAGCATCAGCAACCAACCAAAGGGAAGAGGGAGACCTATTTATAGGATATACTCACAAACTAGGTGTTGGGGGGATGTCAGACAAACCCCATCTTAGCCAGTTTGTCTAGCACAACTCCACAAAGGGCAGCTCTAGCTCTTTTTCTCTTTCTCACATTCTCAAGCTTCTTGTCATGGGTTTACTTGAGTACTTTCACTTGTCTTAAACATAGCGATGCATCCCTCTTAATGGTGTGGCACACCTATACTCAAGAATAAAAGATAACAACTTTAAACTTCATCTTGCGCCTTCCTTAAATCTTTGCTTGCCACATCGATCATGCATACTTGAGGGATTTCATCACTTCTCTCTTTGAGCATGTTATCCTTAAGCATGTGACTTGAACCACTTTACCCTATAGGATTTGAACCTGTTGACACAAAAATGTGGCGATGTGATCAACACACAGCAAGCCGGAGGATCTGAGTGGAACGAGACCAGAGATCTGCTTGGCTTCAACACAGAACCAGCCTATTCTAAAAACCCAACGACGTGCCAGTCAATTTGACCTGCAATTGACAAGGAGAGAAAATATTTATCAGTAATTTAAGGTGGAACATGTCGGTGTTGGACCAGACAGTTCCAAATATACGGCTAGATAGCCAATTCAATAAGGCTATCGACTAAATAGTCGATATCTGGCGTATCCATAAAATGAAGATCTTTAAATCAAGGATTATCGGCTAATATTAAATGATAATGATATGAATCAAAATAACCGATGCTCATGGATCATAGCAGATTTATGATGATTGATTAATCTTAGAGAATTGATAATCAGCAAAGAAGCGATATAAGAAAGCATCATCGGCTAAATGGAACATGATCGATATAAAGCGTCGAGCCGATAAGTTTGTTGAAAAGAGTATAACATGCGAACAAATCGACTGCCTAATATAAATAAATCTACAAATAGTTTGAATCTAATCTATTATCATCAACAGTGAGGTTCGATCGGATCAACATAGCTATGATAATGATAACAAACTAAAGCCAAAGAATCTATAAAACTATCTATATGTTGACAGATTCATGAAAACATGCTATATGCGTGAGAGTATAAGCAAATCAGCTAAAATAGTCGATGCAGTTATAGCAAACAAATAGAGTACATATCTTGATCATGAATAATACAAGTCATGACGGTACTCACAAGTAAGCTAGAGGTCGATCAGTTGATGCAGCCCTGTTTGCTGAAAAACTCGCCGAGATCTATAGTACTCCTACTCATAATGCGATGGCGAAAGTCAAAAAGATTATATTGATTGAGTGTTCGTTTTCTTGTACAATAACCAGGGTCTAATATTTATATCTTCAACCTAAATATGAATCCTACTCAAATACGACTCATTACAATTCTTAAAATAAAAGAAAACTTTCTAACTTAATAATAACTTGGACCCTAATTTTCTTTATTTGTAGAGTCCGTCACATCTTCCTGGCGCCATTCAAGCATAGCCCATTGAC